TAAAGAGTTGCAAACCACTTCGTGCTGCCTTAAAGGAAGAGGAATCCACTAGTTTCTATCTTTTTTAAGGACAGCATATTTCCACAGCTGCAGTGAGTGTAAAGTGAAACGCCTGCTCTGTTGCAAACCGCAAATTTAAATGTACGGAGATACAGTTCTACTCAAAACAGCAAGAGGCAACAAACAATTGTAAGTACATCATCAAGGGAGCACCTACCATACCTTAGATTATTTTCAAGAACCAAAAATGTATCACTTTATACATCCAATCATTTATATACGTATAAAATGTTGCCTGTACTCAATGTTTCAGAACTTTAGTTTACAGAATTTCTGAAGAATAAAAGTTTTAGGATAAAAATGACTGACTATTGGTTCCAAATTTCTAGCTAATTTTAACTCCAATGAAATATATTAAAAAAAAATAAAAATTGCTTGCACACATCTATTAATAATGCAAGAAAGATTTAAAAGTTTGAGTAAATAAACTTCATTTGTGGTATTTCTTTAAAGAAGTCTTATATTATCTAGTTCTAAGTATGATGCAATACAGAAATGGCTTTGGGCAAAATACACTTAAAAGCAAACAAATGTTGCACAGTTTGGAAGCTATCAAGAGCAAAACAAGAAAATGGAGTACACTAAAAACAAACAGGAAACTTAAGAATTTAGATTTAAAAATCCCAGGTCTCAATGAACATAACTATTTTACAGTGCCTTAGATTTAAACCTTTTCCTCAGTGGTTCCTCAGATTTCCTTATCTGCTATCTTCTTTACTGTGCTAAAACAACGTAGCTGTATTAATGACGTATAAAGAGAAGTAAATAGTCAGTTTAGCAAACTAAAATATTCAAGAGCAACATTATGAATTATTTGTTGAGCCACTAGGAAAGTCTATCTGGTTTCAAAAGTACAGCAGTACCCATCTAGATAGATGCTTTTTTCTCATGAGCTGTCTTCAGAATACTAGTTTTGATGAGAACTGATTTCAATGTCACCATTTTCATTGACGTTACTTCATGGTGAAGACTCATAAAACTGAAATATTAATTTTAGTCACTATTTCAGGAGTCTGTGAAAGCATATTTTCATTGACAGCTTCGTGTTTAACGTTACATAAAACTAAGTGTAAAGGAATGCCTGTTGAAAATCAGGGAGATAGGCTTTAAAATTTGCAATGGAAACCATCCACCAAGTAGAAGATTGCCTGTTTTGGGACATCTTATCCTAGCTGTAGACTACCTTTCAATCTGAAGGAAAATTTATAATCATCAAACCTCATGGTTATTCATCATGGGATATTCTGCAAGACTTAAGTTGTAACTGTGATATAAGAATGAAAATCCAGTGTGTCCTACAATTAATAATTGTCATGTATTTGGCAATAAGAACAAGAACTATGTCTGTGTGCAAAAACAATGACTGAGTGTACTCAGGCATTAATTCCATAGTTCCATTCCATTCCATCTCTGCGTAGATGAAATAACGGGCTGACTAGGGACAACAGACCAACCTAAGAAGAGGCAACTGTTTGAGTGCCTTATCACCTTCACAAAAGTGATGCTAATTGCTTTAGGAGCTCTCACTGTGGGACCTTCAGACAGTCCCACAGACTCACGCGTGCATCTCTTGACAGATGCTGGCCAATATGTAGATACTACATACATGCTTAAAAGCACTGATTAACATCTGGGGTAAACAATCTTGCCAGCTCAGATGTAAGAATTACCTAGAACAATAGCTTGGGGAAGTGTAACAGTTTAAGCTGAAAATTTTGTTAAGGGACTCTTGTAACAGAAATTCACATGGCCAACATCTTCAAGAGATTTCACTCCTTGTGTGAGCACTACCTCGTGCAAAGATTCTAAGAAATGTTGTAGGGTTTGAGGGTTTTTTTTGTTTTGATAATGATGCTGTCTTGAAGTGTGTGCATCACACTGTTTCTCAAAGTGCCAAAGATGTAGAAAAACAAGACAAAAAGTGAGGAATAAACTGAAGATTGAATCCATTACCAACTACGTGCACTGGGGCCCTAACATGACAGTTAAGAATTGTACATGTTAGAAAATTTGTGGGATGCTCACAACCTTGTACTTGTTTCCTCTGTAAGACTTTTCTCAGCAAGTAGTAAGAAAAGGAATGAGTACATTTTTCTGCTTTCCTGTTCCCACATTTATTTTTCTTAGAATTTGACAGCAGAGATTTAATTCATGAATGCAAAATATTCTCTCTTTATGGCACTAACTCTGTTATTGCAACAAACATACTTCCAACAAAACAATATCACAGGTGGTGAAATTGATAATTTGTGCCAAGGGCTAAGGCCTTGTCTCTACTAATAAAAATAAAAATACTAATCTACTAGGTTTTCACTCCTTCTACGACCAGAAAATTTGCATTAGTGAGGAATAATAGTTATGAGGTTTGATAGTGCAGATGAAGTTTGCAGAAAAGAACCAATACATTTTCTTTCATTTCAGTTTAGTTTGCTACTAGAGTTCATGAGCCTGAAACCTAAATTTAAAAATGTTAAGCTCCTTTTACTTCAACATATCTCAGGTTAGTGGAACTACCTATATAACCTGAATGGCAAAAGAAAAAAATGAGCAGTGTATGTACCTTCCCAAAGGCCTTGATCAGTATTGTCTTACAATGATCAATCAAGGAAACTTTTAACTTTCAGCTCAATGTGATTTGAAGTTCATACACTTCTTTTTAAACACAGATTAGGATTTCTGTCAGGCAACTGCCACTGAAAAGCTGACAATCTAATTAATACAAATAACTATCTTCCTGTTATAAAAATGTTCTGTATTTTAATAATTCAATTCTGCTGTATAAGAATGAATATGATAGCATATGTTCCTGAAATTCAAAAGGAAAAGGCATAATTACTGTTTTTCAAATTGTGCAATGGTTTTTCGCTGACACTATATGCCATGAAAAAAATTATAATACCATCAAACTAAAAGTGAAATGTTCTTTAGACATTTCACTTCACATAAATAAAGAGCAGAACACCCCAAATATCCACCTTGTTTGATTAAATAGTCATCTTCAAGCATACAACATTTCAGGTACATTCCCACAATATAACAACAAAAAAGATTTCTTTTACCCACAAATTAAAATAGTTATCAGCAGATGTAATACGAAGTACAGCTGGGAGCCTAAGAACTTACAGGGGAAAGTAGAGCTGTACAGGTGTCCACACACTCATTTGTTCTGACTGCCCCTGGCAATGAGCTTGTAGCTATTAGTCCACATTCCAATCCATTAGATAGCTTTGACCTTACCTCCCAAAGAACCAAAAAGCAAAGCTGAAAGTAATTTGCCTGCAAAGAGCTACTGTGCTTCTCCACATGGAAGAAGTAGAAAAAAGAATCTGACAGGGACTGACATGCAGCCTGGTGATTGTCCTGTTCCTAGGACAGCATAGGTCTGTCTTTTGTTATTCAATCAGAAAGGAAAACTACAATTCTACTCATAAAAACTCATGTCTCCACAAGTTTCATGTTGTAAGGGGAAAAACAAACTGAAATCACTAATGGCTTTTCTGAGGTTTCATCTCTCTATGTGCTCTGTATCTTCAGAGCACCTGCAAACATAATGCTCCCACATTAACACACGGGAGCAAATGTTTTTAGTACAAGACAAAAATCCAAACTCTTTGCCAAAAAAAAATAATAATAATAAAAATAAAAAACCTGCTGTGCAAGGCAAAACTCTTCATACTACATTTTATAGACTACAAACTAATACCTATATCACACTATATCTAGTTGCTGCTTGTAGGCACTATACAATAATGTTTAAGAACAAAAGACATAAAAGAGTTTGCTCTATAGCCGCAATTCTGAAAACACTTTTCCATTAGTTACTAATTTTGTATGTTGTAAAGCGACTAATTTTATAATGATCGTTCTAGTATAACAGTAGGAATTAAGATGACATTTCTTCCTGTAATGCATCAAATTACTTCCTGGGGCTGTCAAGTAATTTTTGCCATCAGATTATTACAGAATGGAAATGAATCTGAGCTTTGGGTGTTGATGTTTTGATGTAGGTTCATCTAATGCACTGTTCTATCCAGCTATGGTGTCTAACGCATCAGCTAAGAATGATTCTGATGAATAGGTTTGATTCAATTTACACTGGCAAGTACCTAAGATTGGGGTAGAGGGAGAGGGAATTTCTTAATTTAGCCTTCTTTTATTTTTCCTTTATGCCACAATGGTTTGCTTATCGACATACCTACCCATTGAAAAGATTACATTGATCTGTACTCTTTAGCTACAGCATACAATTTTGGTTTTGAGGAGTGAATATTTGGTTTAATTCAGGTCTTTTTTTCACTTGTCTTAGCCAGAAGCAGCTCTTGGCAGAATTCAGTGAAAGCCTCATGAGGTTTTTCAGATATTTCTCAATCTGTGATTCTAGCCTGTAATATATTCAGAAGATTATTCATCTAAGTGTTTCCTACTTCCACCCAATGTTTTAGCTCTTTGCACAAGAACAAGGTTAGTGACAGTTGTATTAATTACTTGACAGAAATGCATATCAAGTAAAGTGATTGAAATAATTATTTCAAACATTTTATTTAAATGACTTTGTGCTATGTTAAACTGTAGAAGGGAGAATGAGTTCCTTACTATTAAGGAAGCTTTCTTAATATTACAACATTATAAAAATCCTAGAATAATCAGCAGAAAGAACAGTATTCTTTTTTTCTTTGGCTATCACAATTTTCATTCAATTTTGGAGATAATTTCTGAATTGTAATGTAATTTTGGATTTTAATTTAATTTTTAAAAAGCAATCAGGACTTATTTCAAATATAGAGGTAATTTGTTGGTATATTCATTAAAACAAATTGCAATGCTGCAGATCTTACATTAAAATATAGATGCACACTAGTAATTAAAAAATAATAATCAAATAAAAAGCACCACAGAACACTTCAATTACTGATAACAATCATAGTATAATCTTGTCCTACCAAGTGTGTCTCCAGGTACAGTTTAAGACTGTCTGTCTCTGCTTTAGGAGGAGTCCAATTCTCTGTTGTTTCCATGGCTTCATTTAACCAGTGAATTAATTCATCCAGCTTGCTTACAAACCCCTTAACAGATAAGAAAAAAGAAAGAACAAGAGAAGCAAATTTGTTAGTAAAATGACAATCTGAAAAACGTATGCTTCTTTTTTTTTAAACTGAAAATGTACTGTACAGGAAACATTTATCTTTTGCAAGCATACGAGGAAAAAAATACAATTAGCAAGTAGATTTCTAAATAAATGAGGTGCAAAACATTTTTGGGGGTATAATCTAAGGAGACATTTTAGGACAGAACAAAATCTGTATGACTGTGGGAAAATGAAAATAAAATGAAGGTTTCAGAACACATGAAGGGGGTATACATAAAGCTGCATTGAGATTACAATGGCAATTGAGCTGAAGACCTTGTACTGAGGAGACTGGGTGTAGCAGGAGCACTTCTGGATGAAAAATGCTGAATAAAGCTGCATTAACAAGTTATACCTTGGCAGACTGAGGAAAGAAACTACTTGTCAGAATATACGTCTTGTGATTTCTGTTTTGATCCCTTGGATGAGACGCAGAGAGAAGAAATTAAACAGTAGGTGAGGCAGAATATATATCATTTAATATAAATATCGTTGATTGCATATGAACCACACAGATGGTAATACTGAGAAGGAGCTTCTGCTTCTTCAGGAGCACATTTATTGCAAAATTAGTACCAATTATATTGTCTGATTAAAAACAGTGCCCCTGAATTTACATGATTGGATAATACTATAGGTACATACTGAGTACAAATAATTTTACTGAATTTTTATTCACTGCAAAGCAAGTGTGTAAAATAAACTGACCATAACGTTTATAGGCAGCCTGAAAATTAACTGTGAAGAGAAATGACCATCTATTACAAGCAAGCTAAGATAAGATGAAGTTAGGTCTAAAACTGGTTGTATTATAAACTACTGACAATTCCACAGTCCAATGTGAATTATAAGCTCCAGTAGGATAACAGCTTAGTATACACACTGAATATCACACTCTTATCACTTTATTTATGGAATGATTTCTAGTAATTACTAATCCATTCAGATAACTGAAAACAAGCTGAGGACAAAACTTTCAAAGACTGGTAAGTCTCTCAGGAATCCAAATCCCATTTCCCCAAAGTTGCACATGAAATTGGAATTCAAACTGACGTGGAAACAGGAGTTGGACTTTGGGGGCACAGCCGTGTTACAGTGGCTGCTCTGAAAGTAACATCAACTATTTTATTTTTTTGGGCCATGACATCAGGGGTGGACATTGGCGGTGTGACAGTAGAGGTTAAACCTTATCACCAGTATACCGTTACATTTTCTTGCTGGTGCCAGATGGCAGCAGAGGAGCAATCCAATAAACTGGCATCTGACATGGAAGTGTGTATGAAGCAAAGGTGTGTCAATGAATTTCTCCATGTGGAAAAAATGGCATCCACTGACATTCATCACTTGCTGATCATTTCTGGAGACCAAACAGTGAATATGATGCATGGTAGTATAGTCAGTCTGGCCCAACTCTGTGCAAAGTAGCATCCAGTAGTTAGTTCCTGCCTTAAGGCTCAAGTGCCTGATCTCTAGCAGGATGCTCCAGTGCACACTGGAGTCACAGCAGCACGGCACATACTGGGCACTCTGAAGGCCTCATCTTAATTATCATATTTTTGGTGAGCCACTATAAGTTCCCAGAGTGGTAATTAGTCTTTTGTCATCTCTTTTAATGGAACCAGCCACATCCCAAAGCACTGCAAAGAAGAAAACTGATTTTCTATAGGTTTCATTACAGGCTATTTATCAGGACATTGTGTGTGTGTGTCTGCTCTGGAGACTGAAATGAAGTTAGCTGCATTTCCTCCCACACCTAGGTCATGACAAAAGGAGTATGTTACTCCAAGGAATGGGACAAAAGTGGGGGACAATATGGAGCAAGATGTTTCCCTGACTCCTTACACAAAAAAGCAAGCAATACACTTGCTTTTTTCCAGCTCATAGCAGAGAACAAGAGACGCTGGCAGAGGAATGGGAAATGGGAGCTGACAGGGAGAAGAGCAGGAGGAATAAAGTCCTTCTAGGCCCTCCAATAAATCTCTGCCTGCATTTTAGCAATGTGCTGTCCTTGAGAGACAAGGTGATATGGTAAACAGAAAAAAATGAAGAAAGGCTCTCTCTTGTATGTGTGTCTTGTACTTTACAAAAACAACATGCATAACGTCTACCCACAGTACACGATGTCTGCATGCCTTCAAAAGAGTGCTCAGAAACCTTTCAGGCCTGCACAAGAACAAAATGCAGCCAGCAGCAACAGAGTTACTTCTATCCTTGCACAAAACACGTGCGTGTTTTACAGTCTGTTAATTTACACTCATATTTGGAAATGCTCACGCACCAGCAGCACAGACTACTAACTGTGCTCATAAACACAAGCACCAGCCTCTTACAAAACCACACTGATATGTGTTCTCTGGGCACCCTGAGACAGTGGCCAGGCACAGGCTGGGCAGCAGGACAGCTCGGCAGCACCAGACCCATTCCCTCTGTCTCAGGGAAATCTCTCCTGCCAGGCAGCGTCTGTCGTAATTTATTTTCCAAATGACGGTAATAAAATGTTGTTGAAAACATTCAGAAGAACACAGCAGTAGAGACCGAAAAAATTGAAGGGGAAGGAAGGGAAGAAGGGATGAAAAGACCGTGCCCCGCCGCGCGGAGCCACCGGAGGAGGGAGCGCCTCTCCCCTGCCAGTGCGCCGTGCCTGGGCCCGCAGCGCCATCTACCGGCACCGCTGCATCGGCCGGCTGAGAGAGGCGGCCACGGGATTGAGGGAGCGGCGGCACGGCTCGTTGTAGGCACGGTGCCAATAAAAGACGCGCAAAATACACAACTGCTTTTACCTCAGCTTATATGTAAGATTAAATTTGAACAGTGCAGCTCTTGCTTCATTTGTCACGGCTTACTGACCAAACAACGCTCCGATGTTGTTTGCTGTTGTTTTGTTGCATACAATTTCATTTCCTTAATTTTCATAGCCTGATACCAACACAGGAGCCAGCTTTATCACCTGACCCCCAGCTTTATAACTTAACCCCGCCTGGAAAGCAGCACCAGTCTGAAAATTGAAACCTACGCACATATAACTGGCTGCAGCAGCTCTGGAGCCGAGAGCCGGACAGCAGCTACCTCCTGCTGAGCTCTCCCTGCTCCCCTCTGCCTGCCTGCCCAGGGACAGTTAGCTGCAGGCTCAGAGGGACAGACCAGACCTCACTGCTGCTCACAGCTCATGACAAACACACATGGTTCTGCCTCTGCCGGCAGAGCCGTCCCAGCCAGCCCAAACGGAAACTCAGGCTCTCAGTACCGAAGGAAAGAGTGCTGGTGGTGCTGATGGTCCCCAAGAAACCCTAACAGATACAAAGCCATGTCCCTGCTCTCCTCAGAGCACATGAAACAGAAGCAGAGACCAAAACATAACTGAAACCGTACTGAAGGGATGCTGCTCCTCTAAAAATTGATCACATTGAGTTCCTAGCAGCCTGTTTAGCTGGAATGATCAAAAATATACATGTTCTCTGTGACACAAACTGCATGACAATATTTGCTTTTCTCATTATTTAGGATCTTTCCCAGAATGTACATGCTTTCAACAAAAGCTTCAGACAAAGTAAGTTCTAAAAATTAATATGGAGAAAACTGTTTTCCAATACTCTGACAGAGCATAAAACATAAATAAGTAAATACTACAGCATAAATTATATTAAAATAAAGGATGAGACTTAATATGCAATCCTGAATTCATATCGAGGAGCACTCAGTGAGAGAAATTCATAGGATGACAAATAGTAACTGATATATTTTCTTACTCTTTCTGTATTTTCTGTTTTAGATTATGTTTTTCTTTCTCTAAATATTTTTATCTTCATCAATCTTAAGGTAGGAAAGAGTTTCAATCATTACAAACTTCAGTGTAGCTTTGCTGATTTATATTTGTTAAGGGTCTCATCTGAACACTGTTATGCTTATAATGAAAATACAGTAAAATTTATCCAATCCATATTTTGGTAAGGAAAAATTAAATGAGTTTTTGGAAGTAAAAAAACCTCATAGTCAGCCACAATGAAGCTAAAAATTACTGCACAAAATTCCTCAGGGAGAAAAGCGTGGAACAGAACGGAAAAATGGAGCACCAGTATAATAAATCCAGTCTTTGCCTTTTGACCAGCTGGTTCATTTTTGCAAATGTAATAGTCTTGTAACTATGCTAGCAAACTAGACATTATTTTTTTTAAAAAAAAGTCCCTACATGACACAGCATAATGCCCTTCCTCTGTGCTGTTTAGGAGAGAAACAAATACTGTATTCTGGATGATTTGTAGCAACTTCTGTTGTAAAGTTTGCAAATAATGATAAAGCTCTTACCATTCCCCATGCAGAAATTTTTTAAACATTCACCATTAAATCATGCAGCTTTTCATTTTGTTTTATGACAGCTCTACAGATTTTCCTAGGGACAGGAAAAAAGTTCTAATCACACACCCATGAACAATGCTACAGCAAACAATATGGCTTAATCTGAAATTTCACATGTACAAATGTTTGTTTGTTTTTTTTGTGGTCTAATTTTATTTGCTCTGTATGGATAAGAATGAAGAAGAAAGACAATTGTAAGTACTGTGAAAAAAAATAACCATAACACAGTGTGTCTGCTTCAGCGCTGGTGGCCTTATACAATGAAAATACACTTTATTAATTTCTTCTACAAAATCAATGAGTTAATTAACCATAGAACTTTAAAATAATTGGAGGGATTTAAGTAATGACTGCAAGACTCCCTCATGAATGACCAGACCTCTCAAATTTTGAATCGTAAAACATGAGAATTAACTTGTTGAGTCACACAAAGCTACAGGGATGGGTCAGGTCAGAGGCCAAAGGCATGCATGTATACTGGGCCAAGGAAGGATGCACCTCAAAGTGTGTCTTCCATCCTGAATCTATTAAAGATAAGGGCATACAAAGGCAGAGTCCCCCATTTGCTGCACAGGGCTGCAGAGC